GCCCCACGGCAGCGACGCGGGGGACCTCCATCATAGTGATGTCGAGCTCCTTAGCGTCCTGTCCAAGGCAGTTAATGAGCTTGGTTTGGAGTGGGCGCCTCCTGCCGAGCCGGCCTGAAACTCTCTGGACGAGTGGTACCTCCAGTCAGATCGCGGCCGAAAGGACACCCCGCAGAGGCCCAGCCCCTTTTTCCCCGAGGTGCACGATGAGATAACGAAGTCGTGGAACGTGCCGCTCACCAGTCGAGTGCACAGCCTGGGATTCTCCCTCCTGTCTTCTGTGGTAGGCGCTGACCAAGTGGGGTATGTTAAACTCGCTGCCCATCTCTGTCCTTCAGCCGCGGCGAACTGGAGAGTGAGAAACAACGCGTCTCTCCCCTCTAAATCTTGCCATGCCACTGCAAACTTCGCCGGCAAGGCTTTCTCTACGGCGGGCCAAGCAGCTTCAGCACTGCACGTGATGGTGATACTCCAGATGTATCAGGCCAAGCTGCTCAAGTCTCTGGATGAGGACGGGCCGGACCTTAAAGTGTTCAAAGAGCTCCGACGCGCCACGGATCTGGCCCTCAGAGCGACGGTGGTGACAGCTCGAACGATCGGCAACATGGGGAATCTTCTGGTGCTAGATCGTCACCTGTGGCTTACTCTGACCGAGTTAAAGGACTCGGAAAAAACGGCCCTTCTGGACGCTCCCGTGAATCCCTCAGGTCTCTTCGGAGCAGCGGTAGAGACGTTCACGGAGTGCTTTGTTGAAGCGCAGAAACAATCGAAGGCTATTAACCACTCTCTGCCAAAGCATGCCGGCGCGAACTCTCCAGCGCGTTCCTGCTCCTCCTCAGCATGCGGGAAGACCGCACGCCTCTTCTGCTGCTGTTCGGTGAGAACATGAGCCGGCGGTGAGACCAAGACAGCCTTGGCCGAAGCGCCGTCAGGGCTCGAAGGGCCAGAGACCCCGCCCTGACAGAGACGGCAGGCCACCGGCACCGGAATCAAAGCCATGTTCCTGATGCTGTCTCTCGGAGGAGGAAATCTATACCCAGCGCCGAAGACGAGCCACTGAAAAAGTCTGCTCGCTCTGCTGTGTGTGTTCACCACGCCCCCCTGCCTGTTGCGGGCGGCGAGAGCAATTGTCATGTTTGTGGTTTGACTGTTCCACTATGCAGTGCAATAAAGTAAAAAAACATACAAAACTCACCTCAATATCAAAGCAATTCTCCTCCTCTCACTCCCCTCTCCCCCATCACTCACTCTCACACTCGTGTGGTATTAAACTCCCCGCCCCCCAACAGATCTTTCCTGAGATTTACATTTGAGGGGATAGCGTACCAATTCACAGTCCTACTCTTCGGTTTATCCCTGGCCCCTCATACGTATACGAAATGCATGGATGCCGCTCTCTCTCCTCTGAAGCAGAGCGGAATGCGCATCCTGAACTATCTCGACGATTGGCTAGTCTTAGCCCAATCAGAGAGCGCGCTGCTCACCGACAAGCTCAGACTCCTCGCTCATCTTCAGAGCTTACAGCTGACTGTAAATATGCAAAAGAGCATGCTGGTACCGAGCCAGAACATCTCCTTGTTAGGAGTGGAGCTGAATTCAATCAATATGCATCTGTCGGAGGAGCGCCCACAAAAACTGATCAGCTCTCTCGCAGTCTTCAAGTTAGGGCACTCTCCCCCGATGAAATGCTTTCAGAGGACACTCGGCCAGATGGCTGCCGCCTTGAAAGTGTGCAAACTAGGGCTCTTACATATGCGACCGCTTCAGCTCTGGGTAAAGGGCCGGGTGCCACAGAGCGCATGGCGCACGGGCACCTTGCGCATCAAAGTGACGCGCGACTGCTGGGATGCGCTGACCCCTTGGCGCGATATGACTCTATATCGCCGGGGTGTTCTTACTGGCCAAATGATCAGGAGAAAGACTGTTACAACAGATGCATCGAGCACGGGCTGGGGAGCCGTATGCGACGGCAGACCAGCCTTCGGGACATGGTCATAAACGGAGACGTTGTGGCACATAAACTGTCTGGAGCTCCGTGCTGTACACCTAGAGTGCTTTCTCCCGGACATTCACCACCGTCACGTTCTCATCAGGACGGACAGCATGACAGTGGTAGTGTTTATAAATCATCAAGGGGCCGTGAGCTCGCGGCCGCTGCTGCGGCTGGCGAGAGACATTCTTCTGTGGGCAGATCGACACCTCCTCTCCATCCGGGCAGTACATGTCCCCAGATGCCTGAATTACGGCGCGGATTTACTGTCAAGGGGCGGGGTAATCCATGGGGAGTGGAGATTATACCCTTTGACAGTCAATATGATTTGGAGTGTATTTGGCAGGGCGGAGGTGGATCTCTTCGCATCAGCGGAGAACACTCACTGCCCGCTGTTTTATTCACTGACACTGTCTCCCCTGGGAGTGGATGCACTAGCTCATAGCTGGCCGAAAGTATGCAAGTATGCTTTTCCTCCAGTGAAACTTCTGCCTCCTGTGCTTTGCAAAATCAGAGAGGAAAGGGAATCTGTTCTGTTAGTGGCACCGAAATGGCCCAATCAGCCGTGGTTCCCAGAACTGGTGGAGATGCTGGTATTTGCTATCTCTGAGGCTAGGGCTCCTTCCACTAGACGTCTTTACACACATAAATGGAGAGTTTTCACAAATTGGTGCGGGTCGCGGGGCGAAGAGCCATTCAACTACCCAATACCAATAATTCTTGCCTTCCTTCAAGAGCAAAAAAAATTAAAAAAATTAAAAAAAAGGCAAACAACAGCACAAATAAATGCAATAGAATAAAGAGAGCTATGAAACCA